CACGCTCAGCCCAGACTTGACACCCTGGCCTTTTTTGAACACCAAAACTACTACTGTCTACTACTACTACTACTACTACTACTACTACTACTACTACTACTACTACTACTACTACTACTACTGCTACAGCTACTGCTACTGCTACTGCTACTGCTACTCCTACTACTACTACTACTACTACTACTACTACTACTTCTCCTACTACGGCTATTACGGCGACTGCTACGACTACGACGACGGCGGCGACGACGAGTGCCACTCCTTGTCTTCCTGCTGCTGCTGCTGCGAATAGGAGAGCAAATGGTTTTGCCCTTCGCTTTCGGGGCAAAGGCTGTTACACGTGCCTCCATTGTTCTGCTTCCCGGGGGACTGCTGACTGTGTTTAGAGTAAGCCTCCCCTGTCCACAAGGATCCCGGCTAAACTTCCAAAAATATCAACTAAGTTACGGGATGTTGGAGGCTCTTGCCTTTCCAATTTCACGTATCATGCTTGGACAAAGTACAGTCGTTTCGCACGCATGCCCATAGCAATGAAGCCGTAGATGCAGCTGGCTCTGCCAGGCTTGACTCACAGGAGGAACTGCTGCACCTCGACTGAGCGTGAGCTAAGTTCAGGATGTTGAAGACCAACAAGTGTTCATGTAGACACATCAGCTGCAAAGTTGGGTTCACTTTCAGGATGCCTTGCCACAGCATACAGCCCTGATGGATTTCATGACACGGGAGTCTTGTGACAATCCGTTCTGGTGACGAAGGCTCATGTGCAAAGGGGGTCGTGGGCTCGTTCAACAGCTCTGTGGCTGGTGGTCTTGCGATTAACCATGTTAACCAGAACCGCTAAGCCCATGAGTCAAAGCCCTAGGCCCTAAGCCCTAAAAGAGAAAAAACCATGCCTGCGATTGATGAAGGGTAACGAAAGTCTTGGTGTCCTGCTCTCCGAGCTTCAAGCCAGATAGGATGACTTGTCCTACCATAGGCTTTAGGGTTTTAGGGTTTAGGGATCAGGGGTTTAGGGTTTAGGGATTACGGGTTTGGGGGTTTGGGGTCTAGGGTTTAGTCCAACAGGGGCGTAGGGTTTAGGTGTTGAATGCCGGGCCAAACAGCATCTAAGCGCCTTAACCCGAGCCATCCTACGGGATATTCGACCTGCCTATGTTCATCCGCGAATACCACCCTCACGCACTGGGTCCCCAAATACTTTGCTCGTGGATTTGTTAAGGGCCTGCAACCTTATGGAAATTTCACTCCCTGAACCCCAAAACCCTAAACCGGTGGTGATCCAGTGTAGCTGTAGGCTCGCATTCCTGAAACTAGACAGCAACTCAAACAGGATTACGAGCGTCGGGGTGTACGTCGAAGCCAGTCAGAGGAGGGTCTACCTTCAGGGATCTGTTTTGGCATGTTTTTCCCCTTCTGCCAACTCAAGACCACATTCCTCGCCTGGATTGTGCTATCGTGAGCGCCAAAACCCTTATTCCCCCGATCCCTTGAAACCCATTCGAGCCATTGGCCCCAAAACCCTAAAAGCCCTAGGCCCCAAGCCCCAAAACCCCAAAGCCAAACCCACTGTCCCCAAAACCCTAATTTTTAAAAGCCCTAGGCCCCAAGCCCCAAAACCCCAAAGCCAAACCCATTGTCCCCAAAACCCTAAAAGCCCTAGGCCTCAAGACCCAAAACCCCAAATCCAAGCCCATTGTCCCCAAAACCCTAAAAGCCCTAGGCCTCAAGACCCAAAACCCCAAAGCCAAGCCCATTGTCCCCAAAACCCTAAAAGCCCTGGGCCTCAAGACCCAAAACCCCAAAGCCAAGCCCATTGTCCCCAAAACCTGAATGGCATTACTCCAGGCTCCGTCTGACGCATCCAAATGCAGCGCAGGCATGGCAAAGCCTCCCAGGGTGTTGGGTTTGTATAGGAGCTTTAGTCTATAGTGCTCTTCAGTGTGTCCAGGTGAGACTACGCAGAGCCAGCTTCAAAGGGTCTTCTGAGTCAAAATTCAGCGTGCTTTCGGTTTTCGGAATGTGCTGCATGTATTTTTGCATCTGCAGGGTGTTGAAAACTGGCCAGGCCGGCTTAGGGTATGGATCAGTGCGCTCAGCCATTCATCACTTACCCCAAAACACCCATAAAGCCCAAAGCCAAAACCCGCAGTGCGAAACCCTAAGCCTGACCTGCACCTGAAACCACACACCCTAAACCCTGAATCCTTACTTAGCAAACCCTCCAAATCCCGGATGCAACCTTGGAAAAGACCCTCAACTCCAAAGCTCAAACCCTAAACCCCAAAACACTGTCCTGCTTTCATTCTGTGTCGGACTGGGGGAGTACTGTACCTGGCCAGGTGGCTGCATGCGATATAGCTGTCGGGTTGCTTAGTCAGACAGAACATCCTTTACATGGGGTTTCACGCGGTTTTTGCGGGGATTTGTATTGGTTTGGGAAATCTGGTACGGCGCACACTAAGCCCACCGATACCAGCTCTGCAGCGTCGACCTTGCTGGAGCTCCGATCCCTGATCTGTACCACCTGATGCGCGATCACTCCTTTGAGACAGGTCGGTCTGAACATTTGGGTCTCGCTTGGGATCCATATGACAAGCTGACGTGGCCCTAAGCTAGAGAGTTTCATGCTCTCCCTTGCCCCTTCCCCATAGCTACATAATCGCAGTTTTCAGGTGGGTATTTGCCCTTATAGGAGCCTTAAAGAAGGTCTATATACGTTATGGAGGCCTTATAGAAGCCCTATATACCCTAAACTCCCCCACCTATAGAAGCCCTAAATACCCTGAACACCCCACCTGTAGTTTCCTTCAACATGATTCGCAGGTCAGCGGCGTCCGCTCAAACACGGATGAGATGAACGGGTTGCATGGGACCTCGGGTCCAGGCCGAGGTTTAGGACCACAGTATACCATATTATATAATACATCATGTTATACTATAATATACAGTAGCATTGTACCATAATATACGATGATATACTATAATGTACTATAATTCAAGGTTGTCGGGTTTGGAGGTTTAGATTAGAGGGTTAGGGGGTTAGGGTTTGGGGATTGAGGGTTTAGTTTAGTGGGTGGGGGTTTCGGGTTCTAGGGTTTAGTAATTTAGGGGCTATAGTTGCTTAAAACTTAACCGGCTAAAACCCAATGCTCTGAACCCCAACTGAGGTAGGAGGTAACACACCTTAAACCCAAAGCCTATATTCCGAAAGCCTCAGACCCCTTGCCGCGAGTTTGGAACTCCAAACCCTGGCCTGAACCCAAAGCCCCTAACCGGCCTAAGCTCAAACCCTGCACCGGAGCAGTGGGCAGGCCGGGCCAGCATCGCTTTGGCTGACTTCACGCCCTTCCAGAATCAGTTGTCGCAACGGCAGAATTCTGGAGAGTCAGCGAAGAACTATTTGGGCCTGGGCTCCATTGCCATGGGCCCGATAAGGACCACCGAGAGCTCAGGGCCGTTTGGGGTTTAGGGTTTAGGCGTTTCATTGGATAGTTTATTTGGGTTTGGGGTTTAAGGATTTGCTTTAGGGTTTATTTGGGTTTGGGGTTTGAGAGTTTGGGGCTTAGGCAGAGTTGATAGTTGCTGTGGGGCGACTTGCCAGTTGATTCCTTTCCTGTTTTGGGGCTTTGTCAGGGTCGACGTCAGTGGCCAGGTGGGGTTGAAAGAGGTTTTGAATTTAGATTTCTCCGGTCTCAAGTTTTGACTGTGTCAATTAGTTTGAGCTGTAAATTGTGCCAATCATGAACTAGGCAAATTGTAGCTGAGAAGATGCCCTTGGGCCCTTTAACTCGTTTGGGCTTCTTCTGGGCCACACAGCTGTCTCAAATCGTTTGTCTTCGACCCGTTTTCGATCCTCCGGGTTTACGATATCTCGAGCAGCATCAGCACAGTAACAGATAGTAGTTCTCATATTAAGCTATGCAGGCGGCGCTAACGGCAGCAATCGCAACATTAGTCTCATTCCCTAGCCGAAACTACAGCGAGACTGCCTCCTCTACCCCGAAACGCAGATCCGGTTCCTCAACCACGGCCTTTGGCTTCTGACGTGCTGCCCAAAAAGGTCCGAATGCCCTGATGATGAACGAACAGACAGTCTTGTATAGCGATGGTTTGCGCGACCCAAGAAGAATGCTTCATCCAAAAATCTAAACCCTAGACCCTAAACCCCTAAACCCCTAAACCCCTAAACCCCTAAACCCTAAACCCCTAAACCCCTAAACCCTAAACCCAGCTACTATCAGTTTTGCACTCCTCTAGAAGGCCCTGTGGCTTGAGGATGCGGCTGTATTGAATCTACCTATAGTCTCCATTGTAGTTCCCTTTTTTTGGTTTAACCAACTATATATTAAGGATTCTATAAGGTATCCCCGAAAAGGAACTACAATGGAGACTATAGGTATGGTATCATGGACTTAGACTTAGATTTGCATGTTCGGCTCCCGCCATGGTGTTCTACCTCCCCAGAAAATGACAGCTATACCCTTGCTTGCGAACTTACTGTACCCATAGACCCCATAGTAGTTCCTTTTTGGGGGCTTCATAAGAAGCCTATAAGGTAATCCAAAAAAGGAACTACCATGGGGGCCTATGGGTACACATTCAACCCTGCAGAACTCTGAAGCCGAGAACTGTAGCTCTCCAAAACTCTAAACCTGTAAAGCTGTAACACTCCAAAACTCTAAAACCGAAAACTGTAACACTCCAAAACTCTAACCCGAACCCTAAAACCCTGAACCCTAAACGCTGGAAGCCCTAAACCAAGAGCTTCCTGAGCTGCTCGAAGGAAGCCACGACTTTTCACGACCTTTGAGCAGAAGGAAACTGAAAGGAGCGAAGGGCTTAGGGTTTATAGGGGCCTGCTTAGGGCACCGGTTTCGGTGTTTAGGGTTTAGGGTTTAGGGTTTGGGGTTTAGGGGTTTGGGTTTATAGGGGCCTGCTTAAGGCACCGGTTTCGGTGTTTAGGGTTTAGGGTCTATAAGGTTTAGGGTTTGTTAGGGTAGTAAGTAACCTTGAACACTGCTGGGCTTGCGGCATCGTCCCACAGTCATTGACAAGTTGGGCAGTGAAGGAGGTTGCTTTCGATTTAGGGCTGCAGCGGTAGGGGACATGACCTAGGCAGCCACTTGCTTCAGCTTTTGAACCATCAGCAGAACTTGCGAAATTGCTGAACCATATCGATGGAATGTTCTTGCTCGCCCGACAAAAACCCCATAAGCCGCGGTCCGAACACTACGGCAAGACTCGAAGATCCGAACCCCATCGGATTGCAGGGGGCTTTAGGGTTTAGGGTTTGGGGTTCGAAGTCTCGATCAGAGGATCTTTGGTCTCTTGCATGTTCAGGTGGGTAGTTACCGTTATAGGAGCCTTATAGAAGCCCTATATACCCCAAGCTCCCGACCTGTAGCTTCCTTTCATTTGGATTTCAAAGCTTCGGATTCAGAGAGGTCCGAGTGCAGAGAAGCACACATCTCCTCAAGCAGGTCTACTCACGGCTACTTGGTACCCTAAGGGTCGCAGTAATACTTCCTTATGTGTTTCCCAAAGGGTCCAAGTATACAATAGTATAGTATATACTTTCGGGGCCCAAGTAGCTACTATTTTGGTACTTGGACCCTTTGGGTTTTTGGTACCCAACAGGCCCCAAAGTCCTCTAACTAACAAGGAGTGCTTGGAGAGAGAAGGGAAGCGATGAAAAGGAGAGAGGAAGCTGCCAGCGCGGAGTGGCGTCGAGTCACCGGCGTGCAGCAGCAACCGGTGGAGGAGGGCTCAGGGCTTTACGGGTTTTTGCGGCTTAGACTGCTTTTTTTCGGATTAAAAACATTCAAAGAATTGCTTTCGATTTAGGACCAAATTTAGGACCTATTTCAACGTGACCCTTTGCATGAATGCTGCATGCCATTACCAGAACTGCAATTGTCACCGCAACTACCATGTGCAGTGCCAGCGTCATCCGCGTCCTCGCGGCCACCGCCGCGTTCACAATCGTTTTCGCAACCAAGCTGCTGAGAACATGGCTGTTGATGATGATCATCGCCCTTATCAGCATGGATCCGCACCATCGTCTTCTTTGTCTTCTTCACTGATGCGTCACGGTCACCACCGGCATCAGCACCATCAGCACTAGCACGAGCACCAACCCCACCGCCGCCGCCACCACCGCCGCCGCCGCCGCCGCCGCCCCACCACCACCACCACC